GATTGTCTTGAAAATGCAAATATACATTTGATTTGAATTCGTATTTTTCTTACGCGAATTGATTTTTCGAGGTATTGTATATTAAACGATATCAAGCTATAATGTTTGAACAATATTGTATAGACTATTTCAAATTTTATATAAAATATTTTTGGACGATTCATATTCACATATTAAGTATTTCATATATAATTCTTTATATTTACAAAACAAATTTGATGTATTTATTATTTATGTAAATTGTATAACTAAATTCATTTTTATTAAGTCTTCCACTAAAATATGGAATTTGCAGTTTAATATATAATAAAATGTCGTTCTTTATATAATAAATATATAGAAGAAAATATTTTTAGAGCACAATTTCATGTGTATTTATTTATGCATTTATTTTTTATATATTCAACATATGTTTTAAACTTTATACAAACATATTTGTATTTAAAATTTATATTTCTTTGAAACGACGATACTAAATTCTAGAATATATGACAAGCAAATATTATTAACATTTCAACTAAATTTATTTCGTTTTCTTCGTGCTTTTAATTATTGGCTGAGAACGAACTTTTTTAAAAACATAATTTTATGTATATATATTTATAAAAAGTGAACTAATAACAAGATCGAAAGTTATTTCGTGAAATAATACTAGTAGTATATCAAATACTGCGTATTTAATATTTATTGTTGATATGTGTTACAAATTGTTATCAAATTATCTTAAACAATAAAAATATACACTTTTGGCGTTCTTTCATCATTGTTCATTTATATTTAAATAATTCGTTTGTGTAGAGTTGGATTCACAGTGGAGCGACAACTCTTTTAAAATAATGATTTTATTACAGAAATACAGATCGTTACCCGACTAGTGCTCATGTAGCACCGTCTCGACGTACTCGCACTTGCATTCTGACTCGCATCATTCGATATCCCTTTTATGCCCACTCATACTTATTACGCATTGTCGAACGCAGGAAGGTTCTAGATGTGTTTTTACAGAATCGTTCGTTCTTCACGCACCACTGATTATTTAATAAAAACATTCTCACGATCCACATTCGTACCTTTCCAAACACTCATCAACCGCGCCAATAGTCATTCGATCCTCTACTATGCCATTTAACACTACGTTTACGGAGGCTATCTGTATACCTATTTCTAAGGACACCTGTCAAATTGACAGATAAAGGAAACCACGTGCCTTTTTTTAAACGATTAGTTTAATTTAAAAACAATTATATATTATATTAACAGTCTTAACCCTTTGCACTCGAGAGGCTACTCTCAGTCACCGTTTAATTAAATTCTAGAGATCATTGTTAATTAGTATCTCAAATTTAAAATTGTCCAACGACGCGTGGAATATCGAGGTAAAATAATTCTATATCTTACAATTAATTTGTACTTCTTAATTACCGTTTTGAAAATATCGTCGACTTTATGGCAGGAAGTCTTCGAATTACTATGTTTCTGTAACGAAAAGATCGCCGAGTGCAAAGGGTTAATATAAGTTAACTAAATCTGTTACCATTGTATAATTGAAGTAACCCTTCCGTCAAATTCATGCGTTCCGTAAATCTAGTGTTAAACACCTATCACTTGCTACGACAAACGCTCGCTCCATTCACCCATACCACATTTGTTTCAATTTATACGCAATACGAGATCTATAAAAATATATCGAGGCATCCACAAGTTATTGTATTTTGTAGTACAATCTTTATAAGTACAGTAATATTGCAATTGCAAGAGTAATTTTAGTAAACAAAATTAATTTAGTTCGAGAAGGATCGAGAATTTTTTATTTTCAATACCTCAAGTTATAGATATATAAATAGACACATAATCTTTTATATTCTTTTTTATGCACTACGTACATAATTCTCTATAATATATATAGAGACCACCTCTTAGGTTGAAATAATAACAATTTTATTACGATCACCCAGATTGCGAAAGCCCAAAATTCTCAACTTCAAAATTGTTGCTTTGTGTAATGCAACAATTTTGCCAAATAGTCACATTATCTGAATTTATAGGTATTATAAATCCTGTTTTCAAAATTGTATTAATAGTAGAGGAATTAATATAATTTTATATTGAAAATAATCTACTTGACTGCCAAGTAATAATTGTAAAAATGGTATTATATTATTTTTTCAGAGTTAAATAGTAATAACGCATATTTCAAATTATAATAGAAGTAATAACAATGTAAAGTTTCAAGGAAATAATATATCTATTAATACATTATGTATAAAGTATATTATATTGTCAATTGAATATCCATAATTTAAGTCTGCTCGAAGATTCCTATGAGGAACCTTTATTATTATTTAAATTTAATAATATATTTTTAATATAATATTAAAACGTAAACAATGACATTTTCTAAAATAGTTTATTAAAATGTATATTTCTTTTTTATAAATAATTGATGCTGAATTAAATCAAATGAAGTCTATAGATTGAAGTCCCATTAAAAATACTTCTTTCTATTTTTATTTCAAGTAATAAAATTTCAGGACATATTGTTCTATAAATATTGTAATTTTATTATAAGAATTTTTATTTATAAATATACAAATGGTACATATGCATCATCGCTCACAAGCATCCAAACATTTAGTCGATTTATGCTAGGAAAATATAACTGGAAGTAATATTTCCCGTCTTTTCGTGAAATTAGCGAATTGTAAATTTAAATAAATTTTTTAAGAACTTTTCAGTATTGTATTCAAATTAAATTCGCCGCGATGTATTGACATTTTTAATGATTTTTTCTCTGGTTCACGTCTTAGAAATTAAATAATTTAAAAATAAAGAATTCTTCAAGTAACAAAACAGCTCCACCATAATATTCTAACTCTGGTAACAATATTTGAATAATAAAATCAGTAGAAGTCCATTTTCTCTGCAATTTAAATTACTGTTTTGTTTGTAATAAAAGCTGCAACAGTGATCGTGGAATTTTCGATATGAGTGTTAATTGCAGTCGACAATTACCAAAAGCATACATACATACATACACAGCCTATTATTATTTTCAGTAAATTTATTCTCTTATACTTATTCTCCTGTTTCATTGTTCTAAACACTTCATTATTAGTCTGTTAACTCTCATATAACAATTTCTCAATTTAAATAATTATACATTGTAATTATAAACAGTACATGTTGATAATACTTTATTATAAAACACGTGTTATATTAAAACCTAACGTTTATGAAATTTTACAGTCAACGAAAGAACTAAATTTTTCTGTTACATTCAAACAATAAGATCGTACAGTATCGCTTATCTGTACAACGTTCATGATAGAAATAAACGTTCTATAGAAACAAAAAAATGTTCAAATACTTTTGAGCGATATGGTTCCACAAAATGCGTACTGTTATTTACATGTGGTAGGACGTAATCTGTAGTGCGATCGAAAAATGATTCTTTGTATAAAAATAAATTGGAAAACAGAATGAAGTATTTTTGTACGAAGCTTCATTTTTCACGATTGATTTTCATTTTTTACAAGAAGTATTTTCATAAGTGTATATATGTATAAATGTATAAATGTATATTTAGTACAATTTTTAAAATTACTTTCCTGATTGACATTTTGTTCTATTCTATATTTCGTCTATGTTAATATATCCAACAAGTCTTCAATTATTAAAACTTTTAATCTTTACATCTTTTTAATTAATAGTATATTATTGAGATTCTTTTAATAAAATGGAATAAAATCTACATTATATAAAATATTAAAATATATTTGATTTCTCATCAAACATTCTAGAGACTGATGATTCTAATAATAAGAGCTAGTAATAATAATTGAATAAATATTTTAAAAATTAGAAATTATCAGGAAATCAGAAGAATATAGGAATTAAAAAATAAAAGAAAAAGAAATAAAATATAGATGTTAGAGAAATGAATTTGGAAGATAATAGCATACTTTGCGAAATCGTTTTTATTACATCATACTATAGTGTAACAGAAAAGTTTTTATTTTAAAAATGTATTTGGCACATGAAGGTGTAAACTTTCATTTAATCTTTCTTACAAACAAATTCTGATATAACTTAGTATAACAGAATTTTAATATGAAATGTTTTTCTTTTGAAAACGGTGATTCTCAAATTGAATTTAAATTATACGTACCTGAAAATTGTATGAATATATTTAAATCTATTTTCATCGAAAGAATCTCAATAATTAATATTATAGGTACTATAGAAAATATAAAAACCAAAATTTTATATGAAAATATATTATTTGTATTTGCCAAATTTGGTTTGGGATAGATACTAGCATCGCAGTGCTATACTTATTTTCATTATCAATGAAACAGGTAATGAGGATAAGACATGGACGATCATTTCAATAGTACTATTATGTAGAACATAATTAATAATTATTTATATAACAATGTAACATATACTAACACATTAAGAAACCATAGAATTATTTTAAAAGGTTAATTTTCGAATTCGGTTTTATCTATGCATTAAATTCTTTACTTGTTTAGTATTACAAGTCAGTGAACGCTTAAACTACTTTCCTTTTTTTTTATAACATTTTAAATAAACGATCTCGTGTTAAAATATAAATAATGTTATTTATAAAACTTATACTAAGGAAGTTACAGAGTATTATTGGAAACATCATGTAATGTACAACTTAAAACTAAAAATAACAGTTTTTTATTTTTACTAAATATAGAAATCATTTTCGAACGAAGTTATATTACTTTTCTCTTTAAAATTCCAATATATTCGTGAATAATCTTTGTAATATTTATCATCATTAGCTTACCTTTATTAAACGAGTCTATTTACAAATTAAATTGTGTCACTTTGCACATATAAACATGTAAATCAACGAAATTTCTATGTAAATTTCTATTTCAATCTGTTTTTAGTAAACCTAAAAAATATCGTCAAATATCGATTTCTTACATCTGAGATATTGCAAGTAAACAATTTCGGAGCATTTGAAATATCATGAAATGTCAGGGTAGCTATATTCTGGTAATATATTCGTTCTTTTTAAAGCGTACTTTTGAACTGGCGTGGTCTGCGCCATTAGTGTTCTGCTTGGAAATTTCGACGGTGGCGCTGGTATCTGCTTGGGTAACTCGCTAGAGGTTACCATCGAGTTCTCAGTAGTGGAGTCATCCAGACCATAAACTATAGCTAATCTGCTTAGTTTCTTAGCTTCGTTCTTTAAAAAGCGTTTCTGATATTCGCGTTTGGTGTTGGTTTGATGCTCGAATTTCTTTAACGGACGAATTATTTTATCGTGATGAGTCTTCCAGTCGGTTGGTCTATGCACAGGAGGCGTCATTCTCAGAAATTCTACAGGTTCGTTACTAGATGTCGTTCTAGAACTCACATCCTTTCGAAAGGAACCGCTGCGACCTCTCACATTCACGTAAACCTTTGGCCTCCCATTCTTCAAATAGTACAATTTTTCGTCGACATTTTGAAATTTCGATGGACGTATTAAAACGTGTCTCTCTTCGTTAACCGCGTTTATTTTGAAGTTCGGGGTTAAGCCGACGTCTCTTACACCGAAAATTGAGTGAGGCACCACTTCTGGATTTGGGTAACTGTCATTATGAACTTGCTCGGATTGTTTCAGCATTGCATGCACGATATCTTGCAGACTGGTGACATCCATTTCATTCGGGCTTTGAAGTTCGATTTCTACAAGACTGAAAAAGAAAGTAGTTTTATTACAACTTTTTATTTCAAACTTATTTGAATAAATCAAATCTATTGTAATAACTGTAATCGCATTAATTTTGCTTTTTTCTTTGTGTTTAATATATAAAATTAATATTATTTGGATTGAGCCTACATATAATTCAGTTAAGGTTTAAGGTTTTAAGGTTTTTAAGACTTTTAATTGTTAAGCACAGATGTAACGCGTAATATCAAAGTATTTTGTTACAAGGAAGTTAATGGGACATTATAGGTATATATTTATGAAACAGATTTATAAAGATCAGAAAATAATTATGCGTTAGGAAATGGCATCAAAATGTTTAATTAGTTGTACTTAATCAACAAATGTTCTTGTTACGATTAAGTTACACGATACTAATTTAATAATAGTATTATATAACTATATATTAATTTAATACAATTTAACACCACTTTTCGATCAACAAAACCTGCAATAGCTATAAAAATAGAAGAATAATTGTTTGAACTTAATTTTTGTGTAGCTATTTTTGCAAGTTAATAAAATAACTTTTTAGTTAATAACAACTTTTTGCAAGTTGATAAAATAAGAGTTTAAAATATTTTCTTAAATAAATAAAGCAAAGTATATTTTACAACTGACTAAGTTCTGACAAGTGAGTAAAAAGAGTAATGTGTTTAGAAAATATTTATTTGCAGTTTTGTTTGTAGCTTGAACGAAACTCCTGAATCTGTGTATGTACGTAAGTGTCAATGTAACGTATTTAAGACTATTTTTTATCGCCATAGAATGTGTTACTCTTCGTGAATTAAAGGAACTTGCTGTCTTGACTCCAATTAAAAGAATCTTTTTCTGTATTTATTTGTCATCATATTCTCTACCTGGATTGCTTTTCTATCACCTCTTAACTTCAATTATTGCTATCCGACATGCCTTGACAATATGCAATGGTAATAAAAGGATAAAGATCTCAATAATTTTTCTATATAAATACTATATAGAAGTTAAAAGTTGATACTCACAGTAAAAGGAATGTAATATATGTAATTTATGTAATAATAGGCTCACCGTTTCTAACATAATCAGATAAATAAGACACAAATTTTTGTTATTGATTGAAACTGTCATATTTATAAATCCGATCACGCGACATATGGGAATAAGTAGGAACAAGGACACATTGACACCAAATAGAATGCTAAAATATTAATCTGTTAACTGGAAATGACAAGTCAACGTGCAATGTGGATTGCCATCTTTGAACATACTCTTTCATTTTCACAATGACTTTTTGTAATCTTTTTTTACGTTTGTATTAAGTATACATCAATTTATACTTTCATTTACTTGAATTGAATTCGATCTGATTAAAATTAGAATGTTATAGGTCTGTGATTTTAGGAAGTTCAGATTTATAAGTTAACAGGTTAAAGTGTTCACAGGATCAGTGTTAATTATTATCGTAAGGAGAAAACTAATTTACCTTACTATTGTTATCATGTGCTGCTAAGAACAATAAGAGTAGAGATTTTAGGAATATTTAAGGTCGATTTATGACGCCATCGCGCTAGTACGATTTTATTATTTCTTTTTCCTTACTTTATGCAAGATCAGACTCGATTACTTCTTACATATTTCACAGTAATATACCTCACATTTAGTCTTTTGTCTTAGTTTCTATTTTCTTCGTGCATTTTTAACGAATTATCAGTAAAGAAATTTAACATAAAAATTCGCTCTTCCTTTGTATCCTCTATCTTGCTCTCACCGAAGTGGAATTTGCCTTTCCACAAAAATCTTCCATTTTTACCTTTCAGAAAGTTTAGAAGATATTCCATAGCTGTTCTATTGCTTACTCATACATGTTGTGCAAAGCTCAGGAATTTGCAGACGGAAGGAACGTGGGTCTGCTTGGTCCTGGTGTTATAGGTCCACCTTCTCTAACACGATCGTAAAGATAGGTCACGTAAATTTTCGTCATTGGCTTGAAGTGTCATGTCTCCAAATAGAATCGTATTGTATCGTGCAACTCAGAGAGTGAACAGGACACATCGAGAACAAATGGAACAGGACGTTTAAGCACTAGTACAAGCATACGATCAGTGTTAACTATTTAACATAAGATAAAATCTGTGATAACGTGACTTATCTTACTACTATGTGTCGCAAGTATAGATTTCAAAAGCATCAGAGGTGAAATCAAGCAGAGTGAACAGAACGTTCGTCTCTGTACTGTCTCGGATGCTAACTCCTGAGCTCCACACGATAGATACAGATTTCAAAAATGCTTTAAAACCACAGAAGTATTTTAGGAAAAATCAGGTCACGATATCACGATACCATCTAGAATTTGCACGTGATATTTGTACAGTTTTTAAATGAAAATTTTATACGAAGGAACATTCAGAGCCTACACTATTTCGATGATAAAATCTAGCAGAGAGAACAAAGTGTACATATACTTCTTTTGATCTTACTGTATGCGAAAAATTGATAGCATACTCCATGATTTTTAATGTTTCTGGAATATCTTCAAAGCGCTATATCTCGAGAAAAAAATCCTCTGGTTATAAATCAAATTTAATTTTACTGGGGAAGGCTAGTATTATTCAAAGCAATTTTCAAGTAATAACGTATTCTAACAGTTAGAAATGAGACTACATAATCGTGCAATCGGTATTATGAAAAACGAAAAATTCATCAATTTTATAAAAACAATTCGAAGATGATAGAGTATTTTTTCTTAAAAAAATAGTAAAATTGACAAAGCTCGTTTTTTGATATAAATCGTTCTATTTTAAAGGATTATGCTAGAGTATTTCGATAGTTTGGTGTAAAGCTATAATCACGATCTGATTGTGCTTGGAAATCAACTAACTCTGCCTTCATTTCTGCATTTTTGCTTCTAGCGGTAAGATTCATAAAAATTCAGGAAAGTTTAGCTATCTCTGTAAATTACACTTTGGTATCCATTTCATGGTTATTTCATCATTCGATCTCGTCTGTCATGACCAGTTCTAGTGTGAGTGTCACTTAAAATACCAGCGAGTTTCACATCGCATACAAATTATTTAATAGTGCAGTATTCTTTAGCAGGCGAAATCAATTTGCTACATCCATTCACCATCGGTAAGTCACAGTGTCTCTGAAACTTAACTCTTATCATTCTTCTTAGTCTCTTCTTTGACATATTTCGCTTTATCGATTAGTAGTAGGTATTTATCTTTATGCATCGTTGGGTCATTGAATCAGAAATGTTGATGATCTCTTTTGAGTTCATGCTAAAGGAGATTGAACTGAACAGCTTTCAAAACGAGCTATAAGGATAGTCTTTCGAAACGTTTATGAATATGTATATCTTAACTAATCAAAATGCATAATACTTTAAATCACACGTACCATGAATTTAAAAATATAATTTAAACGCAGGAAGTCTGAATATTAACAGTCATACTTGCGTATGTGTGCGCATGTGCGCGCGCGCGCGCATGTATGTGTGCGCGTGTGTATGTATTTTCTAGAACGTTCACCAACGGGAAACAGTGGAAGTACACTTTCACTAGTGAATGTGAACAGATAATAACTGTGGTACACATTCGCTAGTATAGTTTACGTTCACTGACCATCCGCTTCCACTGTAACATATGTCTTATCATATATAAATTATTTATAAACGTACCATGTATTTTATAGATAATAAAATATTATAAGCCATGGATCATTGTAACTTGCTACATTCTAAAATGTCTAAATATTATTATAATTTCAAAATTAAAAATTACTTCATGTGAAATATTTTATTTAATAGACGTTACACATTTTGCTGTTAACTGGATTCAATATGCTAATAATATGCATAATTTATTAATATATTTCTTTTCGTTGGTACAATATGAGAAAATAAATACTGTGTATTGCTTTAATATTAGTATACATATATATCGTTATCAATATTTATTAATATTTAATATTTCTTGGCGAAGTTCTAGAGAACGAATGTACTGAATCGTAATTTTTTTCAAAATATATAGTACAGATTAACAAACAGTGTAATGAAGTAAAAATAAAATTTACAATTAGTTTTACAATGTTAAACTTATTCACTGTTTGTAACATTCTCAGAAAATTTTATAACAAAGTATCTAATAACTAATGCACTGAATTCTAAATTGTCTTGGATATATTATAGACCAATCAACATTTTGAACTTTGATGCTTTATTAGGTATAATGAAGGTTTATTTTAAAACTAATTAACTCTATCAAAGATACCATTAAAAGGCACTCTAAAACTTTATAAGTTTATTATAGCGATCGATACAGATCATAAAATTAATTTTTTCGATGTTACATCAACTTCTATATTTCAGAATATTGAATGTCATAAGTAATTAGCTCTTATGATAATTTTAGGTTATTAGGTTAGTAACTAAGGGTTAGTAACTAGGGTTAGTAAATCCCTAATTAGGATTTATTAGGTTATATAGTAACATAAAACTATTACTAATTCCACCAAAGGTTACTTGATAGGGATATTTGAATCATTCGATCTATGATCCACAGGTGTCAATTTTATATTTAAATAAAAGAGAAGCATGTAAAATATATTGTACACATATGAAAACAAATTTTTGTATTTTTTAATGGAAAGGATTCATTCTAGAATCTATATTAGTTACACTTTTTGCTTTTCTTAACGAGTACTACAAGTTTATTAAATTTTAGATCCTTTTCTTTTATTTTATAATTTTTTTATTTATATTCTATGTTTGCATTGTAACTCGTTACCACTCCTTCATTTCGGTTATGTAGATCGGTTCCTGCGGGCGATTTCATAACGTTGAAATCATAGCCGTATCGTGTATATTAATCTTGTGAAATATGTACACTAGCGTTCAAAAAGATTTAATCGTACAATTGATGCAATAAAAATTCACTTTCATAGATAAACAAATATCCTGATTTTTACATTTGTATTTTTATCCTCCCCATTTTCTTACATTGAAAT